GTGAAAGGAAGGGGAGCCCAGTCCTGCCCCGCCGCCCCCGCCGGGCTGACAAACGCGCGTCAGCGGCCCAAGCAGGAGGAGCCGTGTGTGGCTTTTGGTGACCCCACGCAGCTACACGAGCCCCTCGGGCTTTTCCCCGCTGACAGGTGAGGTTTTGGCTGATTCAGTTTTAGGCACCACTGGCAACGGCTGCACAACCTGGGAGGAGAAAAACCACCACAGAATTTAAGTTAAAAAAATAACAACAGAAACAAAACGTCCATTTCTGCTGAGTAGTTACACCTGGTTTTACTCCAGTAATGCTTATTTCCCATACGTTTGGATCTAGTCAATCGAGCCACAGACCTGCAGGTTAATAGTTTAACAGCTAAGGTAAAGAAATAAAACAGGTTAATCTAGTAGATGCCCACAGTGTAACAGCGTACCTGTTTTTAAAGTCTTGTATCAGAACTAGGACCCTAGTGGTAGATCTAAAAAACAACCAACAACCTGCTCGCAGCCCGTAGCAGTGCTTTTTCTCTATAAAGAGCTGCTACATGCTCAGCACTGTTGATAGCCCGAGGATTTTGCTTAGGTGCCAATACTGGGAGCTTAAATTAAAATAAAAAATGCTCACCTGAAAATTGCTAATGTTTCTGAATGTATATGTCTGGTGAAGTTTTAAAAATCCTGAAACAGAGATAAGCCACCTTTTGCAAGTAACAGAGAAAAAGCTCATCTAAAAGGGGCAAATTTATTTGCTGAGAGTCTGTCACTCCTCAATCCAAGCCAAGTAGATACGACAATTTGTAAGGACTTGATCAAACTAGAGAGACACTTAAAGAGATGCCCATAAAATTCTCATGTGTGAGCTGGTAGTACTTTGAAAATTTTACCTGGGACAACCTCACTCCACTCATTTATTAAAATATCTGCTACCACACACTAAAAATGTATAAAAATGCAACTGGCTTTTTATGGTTTGTAGGCATGACTCTCAGTGATGGGTGTTACTTGTTTCCCTGTCACACTGGGTATGACTGAAAGCTATGCAAAAGCATCTATGAGATGGCTCCTGTATTGCTAATATTAATGGGAGTTTTGTCTCCTGTTCCAGTGACGGCCTTTCTGTACACAGAACAAACCAGTACTGATGGGAGAAGTGCATTCTGCATGAAGGATAACATCGTAACTAAACATTGTATTTGAGTATTATTTCTAATAATCCTGAGAAATCTCAAACTCAGACCTAGTTCCTGCCAGACTAAGTCTCATGATTATGCTGGAGAAGTATGGGGAGGATAGGTTATAATGGCATGTTTCTTTCCTATATTTATTACATACATACCATTTGCTCCCAAAAGTATCTTCTGCCAAATATGGCACAAAATTTTACAGTTGTTACATGGTACCTTTTCTCCAGGTTCTACTCAGTGGTTTTCAAAGGAGCACGGGGAAAGCAACACAGCGATCGGGGGGGCGCTTGTAAGGGTATAATGAATTGTTAGTAGAGGGGGGACACAGCATCAGGGCTCCTGACTGCCAGTCGCCATGAATCACTATGACTAAGCTCCCTCTGGTAAAACTGACTGCACTCTATTAACCCGATTTAGAGAACTGGGAAGACAGTACTTTTTAAAGTTGTAGCTTCAGTAATGTTAACTGATTTTTTAAAAACAAAATGTTTGCTCTTACTATTACATACTCCTTCTGCTTTTTTTGACAGATCTACAAGAAAGAGTAACAACTGTTTAGGGGATGAATGAAATTTATGGAATGAACAAACTTAAAAACATATTCCTGCCCTCTCATTTTAATTATTTTCCAGCATTCATTACAAAATTATATTACAAATGTATATAAAGTCGTCTCTGTTGCCTATTTAAATGCATCTGTTACGTTTTAGTGACAATAATGTTCTACCTTTTGTTGGAAACTTATAAAAGAATCAAGACTGTTTGAAAAAAGTAAGAAATTGAAATTTAATCTTGTTTTACCTAAACAGTTAGAGAACTTGTAGGGAAATGTTCATCAGATGTGAACACTGATCTCGCTCGTGACTCAGTATGCTCCATAAATAGAACACATACTGACGTTATATTTCAGCAGATGCAAATCATCTCCCTTTTTCATTATGCTGTGTGTCAAAGGGTCATGCCAAGATTTTTCACTTTTTGCAGGACATTTCTGCTTATCCTTTTAAAGGTGAAATCAAGAACCCATGTTTGTGCTATCTTTAATTCTAGATTAAATACAGGTAATGATTAAATAAAAACTGTAAGGAGTTAATTCTAGGTAGCTAGAAAAGTTGAGGGATTTTTAGTCAGGCTGTTCAAAATCAGTTTTGGTTTTCTCTTTCCAGTATCTTATTTTAATGAGAACTTCACCATCTGAAGAAAGGTCATCTGAAAAGTTTCAAGTACTCCACCTTCTTCGATTAGCATCTTGCTCATAAGAATTCGTTCTGAACTTTCCAGCAGATTCATTCAACAAAACTAGGGAAGATAATGACACCTCTGAAGAAAAAACCCCTTCAGACTTGAGAAAAAAGTAACAGTCATAAGGAGAGAAATGCCCACTTGGAATATTAAAAGAATGTCTGCAAGCCATATTTAGAGCAGGTTAATTTTTATGCCATAGGAAGTAATAGCATCTTTCTGCATATTACTGCATATTTCAAAGTATGCAACTATTTAATCTGTTAAATGCTAAGTTGCATTTTACAACAAGTATAAACATATTGTTTCTTTCTTTGAAAATGGCAATTGCAATAGATAATCCAATTAACTGCAGCAGCCTAGGTCTCATTTTTAAACAACTGGGACGTCTGTGTTGCCACAGGACACAGCCACTACATTATTCCAGTTTGCTGAGGTACTGATAGCAATCTAACCAACCTAACAGAGCTCAACGTATGTCCATTTACCTGCTTCTCAGCTGCAGCAGAAGTAACTGCAGGGCAGATGTAACCCCTCTGACTATGATAAGCAGCTTTGCTAAGATCATCTCTTCACTCTGACTTCACTGTTCTCATATTTGATAAATCTGTTATATGTCCTTTTTCCTCTTAACTAAAAGATCACTTACAAGCTCAGACTCATTTGTGACTATGAAGGCCCGAGTACTTGTTAAAGCCTTTGGAACATTTTTCTTCTATTAAGAAGACACAGGAGTACCAATATGTACTTGATACTTTGTTTTCATTAGTATAATTACAATACATTCTGGACAGTTACAAAATCTAAGGAATCACGTTTTCTCCATAAATTTCTATTGCAAACTTCAAACATTTGGGTGCCTTTCCATTACTTCTGCACACTTTTCCTACAATCTTAGTAAGGAGTACAGCAACCCTGTTTGTTTTTTTTGTTTTTTTGTTTTTTTTTTCATCAGCTTTTAGTTCTGCTTTGTGACTCAGGCTTTGATGTCCACCTTGAATGCTGGTTCAGCTGCTTAGTTAAAAGCCTGCAGCTAGTCTCTCCATGTTACACCAATTCAACAGAGGATATTTCCACTGGGACAGTTTAGAAAAGGTACATATGCAAAATGATTTCTGGGTCACTTAGAGCAGTAGCATTTAGCATATCTCTAAAGTCAAATCCTGCTCTAGATCAGAACAAATCCAATGAAGTCAGTCAAGTATTTAAACATTCCATTTAGGAGGAGAATTTAGCTCCACATAAACTGGCAGCATTGTTCAAAGATAGATGTTTTCTCAAACAGAAAATGCTGCCCTTATTACGAGCCACCTGGCATTCTCAAATACAAGAAACATTCTTCTGCATAGCACTGTTAAAATGTAAAAACATCAGCTACTGAACCTAAAAACATTTTCAACCCACTTTTGATAAACTTTAAGTACATTGTACTTAGCTGCTTCAAAACACCTCTTTGCATCAGCAGGTGTGGCTACATATGGTTTCCACCTACAGGCCACTGAGTTACGTGACCTTGAATGTAGGAGCTCAACAGTACATTTGCTCATTTCTAGAAAGTACAGTCCAGTGACATTCTGGTCCAGAAAAATACATGCTCTACCCCTTTTGCCCTGGGACAAGTGATACGTCTCTGACCATCAGAACATACTGCAAAGTAGCAAAGCATTTAAATAGTTGGCAAAAGTGTTGAAAGGCACATAGCTTGTCCTTAGCAATATTTCCCTGTTCCACTTGTGGTGCCCATTGAGGAATCACTGTTGGGACCTAGCTTGAAATAAAAAAATAGCAAGAAAATGGAAGCCTGCCAGGAAAAAAAATTAGGTTGCTTTTTTTTTTTTTTTTTTTTTTTTCCCCTTTAGCTTTAATATCATACTATTGCATGTTTTCCTCTACCTTTCCAGTGAAAATTAAGGATGCATGTTAATCATACACATGGACTTACTACTACTGGAATACCAAATGGTAGAGTTGCTGTAAACTTTTTCAAGTACTAAAAGCAATGCTTATAATGGTCTGTACAGCATTTGCAAATAATTACTTTGAAAAGAAATTAGTGTAGTTCTTTGTTTTCTCAGCATTGCTTAGAAATGCTAAAAAACTATAACAGCTAACTGCTACTCTACACAAGATCAATATACCCCAACAGATATTTAGGAATATATGCCATTATATTTAAAAATACCAAGTTCCTCTAAACTGGTAAACCTAGAAGATTTTACATAGAGATAAAATATTAAAAATTCTTGTTTAAACTCCACACACTTGACATCTGAATAAGAGTGATGTAATCATACTATTTATTCCATCAGTGAGACAAAATGTTGTATGGAACTAAATTTCTGAGATTTTTAAATAGAAAGTCATTTAACTCGTATATACACAAAGTGTTCTTTCCACAGATATTTACATGGCAAATATGTTAGAGGAGAACCACTATGACTAAGTCTCTACAAGTATCGCATCCTTTCTGAGTTATTCTCTCTGCTGAAAGAATTCACAGAAGCTTTGAAGTAAAATCTAGACAATTAAAGTTACCTATATTTCACAGTAGGTAAAGAAGCCATTAAATGATATTTCAGCATAAGGTTTCTGGAAACAGCTACACAGTAGAGTTTTACATCCACCCTTCTTTTCCAGCATTCATGGTGAAACTAAATCTCTTCTTAATTTACAAGAGAGATAACGGCATACGTAAAGATGTATGTGTATAAGTGTAGTTCATCCTCCTCGATAGAGGCTGGTCAGCCGTTCTAGTTCTTTGCAGTTGTCCATGGGCATGGAGTCTGCTTTCTTTCGGAGACGGTCATCTCGATATACTTTTGCTACATAAAGTAAGTCTGTTTCTTTAAGGAAAAAAGAGAAAAGATTTTTCAGGTTAAAACCAGAATACTTTGCACACAATACCTTCCTTCTCAGAGATGTACAAAACACCGCAGGTTTAATCCTCACCCATTTTTCCTTCTGTTCATTCTAATTACCCACAGACACCACCTAAAGAGTACTGCTACAGTTTCCCTTTGCTGGATCTTCACAAGCATTTCATCGTTTTGAGCAGGGAAAGTTCTAAGTCTTCCAGCACCCTCATATTTCATACAGCAGTACCTGATTAAAAAATACCAAACAAAAATCCCGTACTACTTCTGTCAGACTTCATTAAACAATACAAATATAGGTCACACTCAGTGATCCCGCACATAACTAACAGCTCCAGTGTCTTGTCTGTGCCCAAAAATCAATTCTGAATGTGAAGCCCATCACTTCAACTGATGCTGCTTCAGAGTGCCAGTGTTCAGAGGTATTAATAAAAGAGCTCTCTGTTTTATACTGGTGTTCAATAGCTTGACATTGCTGAGCATTTTAATTCTATAAAATCTTTTCCATCCCTTCAACTCAAAATGGATTAGTGAGGCATTCTTAAATGTCAATCAACGCTGGAAAGATTTTAACTGTCAAGGAGATAGAACACACAACAGGTATTTTACGTAAAATCACAAAATCAGCCATTTCTATAAATAGAGAAATTCTATTAGGGGCTGCTTACTCAAAATCAATTTGGGTAGTTTTCACAGCCTGATAAATTGCAAACAGCAAACAACATGACAGTCACCACCTTCAGGTTATTTTTCTTTTTTATACTAGGGTCATATATTTCTGTAGTCATCACATTTTCCCCAGTAAACATGTACATACAGAACCATGGGCCTCTGTGTGGTCCAGGACTCTCTTCATGCTTAAAAAGTAAGCATGTCAAGAATAAATGCTGAAAAATGGGAAAGGTATTCTTTCTTCCCTCCCCAGGTGGAAACTGCATATCAACTATACCATTTCAAAGATGTTTATAGACAGTAAATACATTACAGGAAGCACAAATATAACATGCTAGGAAATCTACATGTAATGACTAAGTCAATAAAAGCAAACTATCCTTCCAGATCTACACTCTGTTGAAAAAATGTACAAATAATATGTCCTTTTTTACTGTGCTGGATTATATCTTGTCTTTAATTTTTTTGTTAACAACCACCTCTCTTTTTTGTAAACTATTTTATTATAAGATTACTCATCATTCATCTAGCAACCACTCGTAGATGAAAAATCAGGTATTCATTTCACAATGAGTAAACATATTCAAACATTTCAAGATCATCAAAGAACACTCTACTTGGAAAAATATCAAAAAGTTTTTGATATTTGCTTATGAATTATAACCAGAAGTTCTCTCATGATTTCCTGTGTTTGAAAAACCTGGAAAAAAACCCCGTTCTGATAAAATCTAGTAGTCTGAGCAACAATCCGAGTCTTCCCCCAAAGCACTGGTGTTTTTCTTGTATACATGTGACCCATCAGCAGAGTTTTCTGCCCACAAGTCTTTCCTGTGGGCAATCTGTAAAACTGTAGAGATTTACTTGTGCATAAGCAATGTTTACTCACAAATAAGGAGCATAAAGCCTCCAGGAAGCATTGGATCTGCTACACATGGGCAATGCCATTTGTATACATACAAGCCAACTGTAATAAATCCCTGCAGTCTTGTTCAGACATTTGACTAGCTGTAATGCTGGACTGTCTTTTACAACTGGGAGAAACTAAGGGGCCATCTCAGCTGAAAGGCTTGGCATCACTGGGCTGCAGAGAGTAAAGCTGTGCAGGAACACATGATTTCACTCAAAGAAGAGCACTCTGTTTGCTTCTGGTCAGTTTACTGAAAATTCATGAACAAATTATTTATCCAGTAAGCTCTTACTGAAGTTTGCCAGCTGAAAAGTTTCAACACTGATGTTATTTTAGCACTGCTGTTCTCACAGAGCATGAAAGGCCAATGAACTGGTCATGGAAAAGAGTAACAGGTTCAAATTGGTGATGATTTGGAGATGGCTGATGCTATTCAGTATTCTTATGCTTTAACATTAAATTCTAGGCTTCTGAAAGAAAACAGCTCCTTGTATAATATTAAATTAGATTGGAAAAATAGAGAGTGAACTAAAAAACCCCCCCTGTTTTTAAGGTCTGATATAGCCAAGGTATCAAGTCCAGGAAGAAAAAACATTCAGCACTGGCAAAAGATTAAGCAATGATTTAGAGCTTATGATGTTTTACAGGACATGCTGCATGTCCTTGGTTGCCCGGAAAAGCAGTGTTTGTATGTACCGTGGTCTGAGGCAGATTATTTTCTCCCTTCTCTGGAAACATCTATGTAAGCTTTTGTTTTATTTATTTATTTATATAAAAGCACCTACAGAAATGAGATATTGCCATGATAAAATAATGTGGAAGAGATTTCTTAGCTTTGATCCTTAACTTAGAGCAATTTTTTTCTCATTATCAATTCATGTAGTCTTTAATTTTCTGATAAATGGTCACAGATAAAAATTGCAGATTTGCAGATGATTGTTAGGTCACTGAGTAAAACACAGAAATTAAGTGATGCTGGGGACACTTTTAGAAGCCACTATAGAACCTTACACTTGCTTTCTCATTCAGCTATTTTAATAATACAAGCACTTAGTTCTTGCCTGAGGCAATCTTTTTTCATAGTAATGCATGTTTTCATGAAATTACATGTATTACCAAACTTACTTTGTTGCCTCTCCTTCCAACAGTTATTACGAATGTTGGACACATAATCCTCTTCCACACTCTTTTCCACTTTCTGTAGTGACACTCCTTTGTATTCATTTCTAAAGTCCTTGTTGACATAATAAACAACATGCAAGTTTTCTGTCTGCATTTTTATGGTTTGCCCTGTACTTCTGCAAAAAAGAGAAGAGAGATACTAGGTGCTTTTTTGATTTTTTTTACGTCACAAATACACTTTTTAAAATTTTGCTATTACAGAAGTACAGCACCTTACTGAATTTGCTATTTCAAGACAAATAATGAAATGAATGGCTATATAATCTTCCAGTGAATAAAACTACTACATTTACCTGAACATTAAACTTCTGATGCTTAAATCCTTGATCTCAAAAAAGCCCCCACTTTATTAAGACACTTGTTTCACACCTCTTTAGGCAAATATAAGCTTTGGTAGTAGAAAATTACATTAAAACTCAACAGAAAGAAAAACAGGTCACTATTCTGTAGCAACCCAGTACAGGCATCTCCATTATAAGTGTTTTCTGCCAGCCCTGACAAATGCATTTTCCTGCTGGTGTTCTGCAGATTAAAAACCAAAGATTGGGTGCAAACTTTCTGGCAGAGAAGTGCTTATAAGCATCACAACAGCTTAGTTGCAGAAGGGAAAAACACAGGAAATAAAGAACTCCGAAAAATAAGAGAGGAGAAAATAAACCTTTCTATTGTGGGGCTGAGAGCTCTGCAAGGAACTAAAGACCTTTAAACCAGTTGTGAGTGAGCTGAGTCTACTAGCTAGTTGCATGCTTGAGTGAAGTTATTTATTTCCTTCAAGAAAAAAGCTTTATATATCCTACTGTACAAAACAGGTAAGTTTCCAAGTAGAATTCTTCGCAAAAAAAATAAGATAAACTATTTTACCATCATGCAGAATGAAGCAGAGAATTTCCCCAGCCCCCATCTAGTTCAAAACTTAAATAAGGATGAGAAAGTTGCTTTCAAGTAGTTTACTTGCTACAAGCACAGATGATGCCTAAATATAATATAAATAATGAGCCTTAACAGGTTTCAGGATTCTATTAGGTATGTTGGAGCTGCAAAAGCTTTTTAAAGACGCTACATTGCATGGACCCACTGTCTTGTATTAGAAGACCTCCAAAACTCCAGATACTGCTGATCTCTTTCCTCCGTTACATTCTCACAGCATGTTCTTACTACCCAATTTCCAAGTTTTGTCCTGGTTCGTCTATACCTTCCCTCCCTTTCCTCACTGTGGGAAATCAAGGACCAACTAATGGAAGGCTCTCTAAAATGCTTCTAAGTGGGAGAGGGTGATTACAATACCCTCCCCTTTGTTTTAAGCTAATGTAAGTCAGCATTACTTACGATCTTGGGTATAAGGCATAAGGAGGGTTAGATACCATCAACTGGCTCAACAAAGAGACAACGATCAACACAATAATAGGCATCAGCTGAATGAACATAGAGAAACCTCCCTAAGGAAGAAAACAGATTGAGGTATTTCATAAAACAGCATCAAGTAAACAGGTAAATCTGACAAGACTTAATGCTAAGCATGACTTTGCTAAAGTGGCTAGGAAAACTAAGTACAAACCTGCAAACACTGTAGTGTTATCTTAACTTTCCAATGCATATACAGTATGCATAGCATGCTCAAGCTGCAAGAGTCTGTGGGTTACCATACAGCCACAAGCAATTACCCAATGAATGGATTCAGTTAACACTGTATGCCACGATTTGGTCTCATCTATACAGTGATATGTGATTATACAGGACTATACATAATTCATATAGATTAATACTGAGCCTTAAATTCAATTCTTACCTCCGCCCAAATAAAATTTTAAATGTAGACAAGGATTAGCGACCAGAATGAGTGACATTTAGGCTAATACTACTGGTCACTAGTAGAATAGTGACATACAACAATAGATGTATAAAACCAAGCTATGATCTTCTCAAATTTGCATGTATATTTACCAATCAGTAAGACTACTACCTGCCAAAGTTTTAAAATATGTAACTGGCAAGTACAAATCCACCTCTACAGTACAGAGTTCCTGTACAATCACATCAGTGAAAGTGACTACCAGCAAATTTCACAATCCATAAAGTCAGTGATGCTTAAACATACATCACCCCTCTCTTCCTCCCTCTCATGTCCACTCTGACGGTGCTGATTAGGGTGACTGTAGCCAGCACGACCATTAGAAAATGAATGTACACTACCTAAGGAAAGAAATATCCATGTTTAAATCATGTAAAAAACCCAACTGTTTAGAGGTCAATACAGAAGCAACAACATAAGCATTTAACATTACTGCACAATGATACCTAACTTTAAGATATCAAGCTCTAAGACAACTGATTTGTTATTTCATGTACCACAGAATCACCATAATAACCCCACAGAACTGAATTCACATTTAGGGGATTTAGCAAGACTTAGGAGAACAATAAACTGTGATGCAGATTGAAGAGTTGGGGTTGGAGGCAGGTTGGAGTAATTTTACTCTTTTATAATGCCATAAACTCTAATGCAGCTCTGGGCAGTACCACTGTATCCTGATGATTACTGATGTATACAAATACCTGTTGGAAAGGCCCCTCCAAAAAACATGTTGAACAGATCCTCTGGAGTAATATCTGCCTCACAACCTCTACGGAAGTTGAATCTACCGTTGCTAGGGTGATTGCATGTTTGCTCTTCACTGCCTGTAAGGTCATACTGCTTTCGTTTCTCTGGATTACTCAACACAGCATATGCATTTCCAATTTCTGAAGCAAGAAATAGAAGACAACTTCCATAAATGAAAGATAAGAGCTATTCTAGCACAAAAATTGCAATTTCAAAGTCAGTAATAGGCAGCAAATGATGTCCTTTATGTTAGAAATCAACTATAGTAGAACAAGGTCCAGAACCATCTCTACTTTTCTTAGCAAAGCTTCCACAAAGTTTCCCACCAACGCTAATCAAGACTTTTTATCTTGTTAAACTAGGCAGAAGTCAGGAGAGCTTTTTTTTCTTTTTCCAGGGGAACACCTACACAGTGGTCTCTCTCACTGCAATTACAAAAAGGGCATCAAGCATTACAATGAAAGCTTTGAAGCTGAGGAATTGCAAAATTCAGTTTACTCTAGCAGCCTAGCTTAAAAACATTGTAGATTGTTAATTTTCTTTGGTTTCATTTGATAAGTGGCAACTTCTCTGAATGCATCAACTTTATTGTAAAAGAGCATGATATTATTTTTCTATATGCTGCTTAAGATATTTTATGGATTACATTAATAACACAAAGTTTTGCATGACATAACATGAAGAGTACAACATGTGTGCGTGACAGGAACATGTGTGTTCCTAAGGCTGTCAATATGTATGACCTCAGTCTTTGGAGTGCCTAGCCTAGATGGTTGTCCCTGTTCACACTACATTATCACAAATGAACAACTTCAATTTTGACAGTAGAAAGGGAAAACTGAGTTAGGTGAGCATGGAAAGAATCAGTGTGAAAAACCACAAGGTCTGCTGACTTCACAAGCTTTAACCCTAGTTGCTGTGCACAGGCATACAGCTCTTGCAGACTGAAGGAAAATTTCTGTTGGCACTCAATGAACAATCTTCGCTCAGTCCTATCTTCCTTAAACCCTTTCTGCTTTCCTTTCTCCTCTCTCCTCCAGGCCTCTCCAACAAAAGGCTTCTTTTGCAGCCAACCAACACAAGGCACAGTGATTATGCTTTTCAGTGTCAGAAAGCCATCAGTCATCAAAAGTTCATGAAAGGTGCAACACTATAACCTCAACACAGGCAAATAAGACTATGGCTTTGCATAATTAATGTTTTCAACATTATCCAATCTAAAAGAAGTTAATGAGTCTTAGCTATGTGCCTTTTAAGATGCCCTTAGAAATAAGTAATTAGTTATTAGTAATTCCTTTAAGTGGAGGAGAAAACGCAAAGAAACGAAGCCTGGCGATTTGCACTGAGAGCATAAATGCACTACTGGCACCAAATATTGCTACAAGGTTCCTCTGTTACTCAGCATGAGGATAAAATTGGTAGCAAAAATTTAGATTTTCCCAACACTTAAGAATGTAGGGAGACATAATTCAGGTGACTGCACTTAAAATGAAGACGCCATACTTTCATATATGGTCAGCGATCTTTTCTGACTATTTGTTATTTGCTCTTGATTATTTGATGCTAATTCAGAACAGATTTGAGTCAAATACAATTTTAATTTTAAAAAATACATAAAAAATGAAAAAAATTGCTCAAAACTTTCAAAGGAAAGATTTTTTTAATGAAGTTGGTAAAAGAGATTCCAAGAGATTAAAAGTGATTATATTTGCACAGACTTTTAAATCTAAATTATAACCTCAGGGAGACTGCTAAATTAGTACTAGGCAGCTCAAGATCTGAGTACCTTGCCTAACATCAAACTCACTTCTGTTTTCTAATGTGACCTTTCCTTAAAATAAATCATTTAATGAAATAATAGCTATTATTATAATAGTCTTTTTCTCAGCTGAAAGTTAGAAACTCATCAGACACTTTAAAAGGCAAAACTCAGCCATACAAACTTTTGTATTCAGCCATACAAAAAGATTACAACAATTTCAATACAAGAAAAATGCTAGATATCATTAAATAATTTTTTGTCAACAGGATTTC